CTCACACACGCATGCTTTCGACCTCTCTTTGGAGCCAAAGCTGCTATCCAGCTCTTTCTTCACTTTTTCTTTTAGTTTGTGGACTTCCTTGAAGTAACAAGTGTTTTTGGAAGCACAGTTTTTAGTTGCTGTGAAACATTCTATTGCACGAGTATATTGTATATGTATTTTAAAACTTAAATTGTGCTCCACTGCAATGTTAAAATCAAGTTGGTCTGAGGGTCAGAGTTCAGAATCAAGTGCTATCATATTCTCCAGTGGGATCAAGTATACTCTGGTTGTCTGATCAGTGGGCTCCTAACAATCTGAGACATGTTGTCATGGTTTATATTCTATGAAAGACTCATGTGTTGGAAGCTTGGTCCCTATCCAGTAGATGTAACCATTGAGAGATGACTGAGTTGTGTCAACACCAACCTTATTAATGGGTTAACCCTTTAATAAGTTCACACTGAAAGGGCTATTAGGAGGTAGGGCTTCTTTGGAGAAGGCAGGCTTCTGGGATGCCTTTGGAGGGCTAATTTATTCCTGGCCCCTTCCTGCCCCTGTCTCTCTCTGCTTTCTAACCATGAGGTGAGCAGCCAGCCCCACTACATCCTTCCCACCATAATCTTTGCCATCGGACACCCACAACCCACAACAGTGGTACCAAGTGACCATGAACTGAAACATCAGAAACTGTGGTCAAAGCCAAGTTTTCCTCCGTTAAACTGTCATCAGGTATTGATGGCAGTGGTGGAAAGTATAATTAACATGGATGCTAAGAAATTTCTGTAGCACTGGCCGCTTCTAGGGGGTCACCAAGAAAGTCCCTGGAGGAGAGACTCTCAAGGGTGATTGAACTGGCCAGAAGTTACCAATGTGACAATCTACTAATTTCTATGTATGAGAGGTGCCTTCTGTGAACATAAGACAATTATTTCATCCAAAGGAAAACTTAAAATTCTTTTCATGATTTGGGGCATTTGTCAGAGTAATGTAGAAATCCATCACATGATTGTAAAAATCCTTCACTTTCTTTACCATGGATGCTTTAGGACAGGGTTGCCTATGTATGGTATTAGCAGGGCTGAGAGAAGGAATTTAAAGGGAGGCCCTCAGCCTGTGCCCACCCCTCTTCTCTCTACCTTAATGAGTAAGGGTCTGGAGTTCATAGTCCCGCCTCAATGATTCCACCAAATGTCTGTCTGCCGCTAGAGAAGTATAAATGACTCCAACGTCCACATCCTTGTTTTTCACTTCTGGTCTTCAGATCAGCAGTAGAAAATCATCCAGGAGCTTGCAGACCCCTCAGACTCTGGAATTACACAGCCTGCCATGGCCTGCAGTCTCGGGGCCTGCATTCAACTAGCCTGGAAGTGACTGAGACTCATGCGTGAGGAGCTTTTATGGGTGTGATAGCTCCCACCCTGATTTAGCTGAACATCTCACTAACGGCAGACCTCAGGACTGGGGCTGAGCTTCATGGAGTCCACACAGAGGGACTTACCCATCCCTTTTCACACTCCATTTGTCATGCCCAGTTCTCTCCTAAGAGTATTTCCAGGCAGACACCTGGTCTCTGGTGCTATATGTCAGAGCTGGGTGGCCTTCCATTTCTTGATCTTCCAGAGGGCAGTAGATTTCTCGGCATAATGTCTGCATCAGCAACATCTTATCACCTGAGAATTTGTTAGAAATGTAAATTTCCAGGCTCCACCCCATTCTCAGGAATCAGCAACCCCAATGGGTGGGACCCATCACCGTGTAACAAGTTTTCCAAAGGTTGCAGATTCAATTATCAGTGTGGGAACTCACAAGGCCTTGTGCTAGAGTGGCCCATGGGTCCAGCACAGCATCATCTAGGAACTTTTTCTAAGATCCAGGAGTTGGGACTGGCAGATTCCTATGTACATTCAAGTTCAAGGAGCCAAGTTCCATGTCAAGAGGCATCCAACAAAACACGTGGGCCAGCCTATAGTTTCCCTGGCGAATGTGGGTAGGACTCATAGGTGAAGGCAAAGGATGGGAACAGGCTAGTGTAGCCAAATTCCATTGTCAGGTAGAGTTCTGTGGGGCCAGAGAGGTCACCTGGCTTAAGTGGAAATGAATCAGAATGTTTGGGTCAGCTGGCCAGGTCAGGCCAGAGGTCTAGAAAAGCTGGGGCTCTGGATTAAGGATCCTACTGGAGTAGACAGTAGTACACATCTATTTCCCTCCAGAGGCAGAGGACACTTTGAAGTCCTTAAAAGAGAAGGGGGTGGAGGGAAGATAAAGGCAGCATCTGGCAGTTCTCTAGAACCATCTGTAGGGGTCTGACACACAGAGGTAGATTTAAGGCATTAAGTTCTTTTTATTTTTTGAACTCTATCTCTAGTGTCGTTCTATGAGGGTGTGTTCATGTTTGATTGCATGTGGAGGCTGAAGGTCAAGCTTGAGTGTCATTCTTTATGAGCCATTCACTTTATTTTTGTGACATGTTCTCTCATGGACCTGGGACTCCCGGAGTAGGCGAGGCTGGCTACCTCCCCAGCACTGCATTACATGTGAATGCCATCACGCCTGGCTTTTTAATGTGGGTTCTGGGCATTGAACTCAGTCCCTCATATTTGCACAGCAAACACTGAGTTGTTGTCCCGGCATTAGTTGCTTTTTAGGTAAAAATTCTTCATGCAGAGCTTGTGAAAGGCAGGACCAGGTGGTGAGGACCCCAGCCACTCTCTGGACTGGTCTTATCCTTTAGTGGGCCAGCTGAGGATAATGGAGTTTATGTCTAAGTAGGAAACTGCCCAAAAGGCAGGGTGAAAATGGTCGTAAGAACTTTTATTAAGGATTGACTCTGAGGTGCATTTTCAGTTAAGCCGTGCTAGAGAGTTTGTTTGTTTGTTTTTTTTTAGTTTTGTGAATGATGTCTCAAGGTGTTACCCTTTCATCTTAGGTACAACACTCTGATTACTGCAGGAGACAGGTATCAGCATCGGGTTTCCCTGATGCCTCAGCATCTTCTACAAACAAGAAGGTACCCTGTCCAAGGCAACAAGTGCACCATATGATAAGTTGCCGCCTGATGCTGTTGATCATCTTTCAGCACTGAACCACACCCACAAGCCCAACCCACCCCACCTTCTGTGGACTCCTCCCTGACCTCAAGTTAAAGCCACTTGCTAAGGTCTTTGTCTCTGGGCTTCTCTCCTGCACTGTGGAGTCGCTCCAGGAGAAGTCTCCTATATGGGCTGTGAATGTCATGGCTGCCTTAATTCCACAGGCCTCTTGGAGTGGGATGCCCCTCCCCCACCCCTGCAGGTTGGGTGATCCTCAAAGGCCTGCTGATGATGCTATCATAGCAGGGGCATCTGTGGTAGGGAACACTGTGGTTTCCATCAAGGTTTCTTATAATTTCTTGTCCTGCCTCTGTACAGGACAGCTGCTCAGGAAAATTTCCACCAGGTGAGCAAGCACATGGCTGTGCTGATGCCTACTGTTACGATGGACACCTTAAGAGTAAATTGCCAAGTGGGGCCTTTTGAGCCAAAAGGTTGAACCTGAAATCACAGGGCCTGAGTTACGGAGGTTTAAAATGGGCACGTTGGAACTTAAAAGTTTCATTTTAATCAAGAAAATCTATTTCTAAACTGTGTGTGATGGTGCACACTTTTAATCCTGGCACCTGGGAGGCAGAAGTTGGCAGATTTCTGTGAGTTCAAGGTCAGCCTGTTTTATATAGTGAGTTCCAGGAGAGCCAGGGCTATGTAGAGACAGACACCCTATCTCAGAAAAAGAAAACCATGCATGTCTAAACTAGGTGTCTAAACTCACCACTGTAATCCCAACACTTGGGTGAGACTCGGGGCAGGAGGACCGTAAGAATTCAGGCATTACGTTGACCTGCCCCTGTCACCTGGCAGAATGCAGTACCCTGGTCAGCCCAGGGTTTCATGAGTACTAGTCTGCAGGCAGGTGTAAAGGACCCCTTTAAAAGTCAGACCCTGCTCACTTACGATCTCTTTTGCTCTTGCTCTTCTCTCTCTCTTTCCTCTTCTGTTCCCGGTGCCTCTATGTCTCTTCCCTTCCCCCTCACTCCCCTTTCTAAATAAACTTCTCACTTAAGCTCTGTCTGCCTGGCCTGTTATTCCCTCTGGCTCTTTCACCCTCACCTGCTATGGAACCTGCTATGCTCTCCCATGTGGTCCCTTACCTTGGGACCCCCACACGGTACCAACCCCTTCTTCAGCTTTATCCTATAACTATAACAAAAGAACAACAGGACAATGTAAGTTCAAGGCCAGTCTGGTTTACCTAGTGAGTTCCAGACCAGCCTAGGCTGTACAGTGAGAAAAATTAACATGATCTCACCCCCACAAAAAATCCCAAACCCCAAACCATATTTTTAGGTTTAGATTGAGGCACAGATCAGTATGTTTGAGACCTGGGCTCAATCACCACAGCATGGTCCAAACAAGCAGGGAGGGAGGGAGAAAAGGAAGAGAGAAACTGAATCTGAATTCAGGACAGAAAGACACCTCCACTGGGGTTGGAGCAGTGGATCAGTGGTTAACGCTATTCTCGCAGAGGACCTGGGTTTGAGTCCCAGAACCCACACAGTGGCTCACAAACATTTGTAACTTCAATTCCAGGGGATCTGATCCCCTCTTTTAACTTGAGGGCAAAGCATGTGGTGCAGATGACATGCATGCAGTAAAACACTGAAACACATTAAAGAAGGAAGGGAGGGAGAGAAGAAGGGAGGGAGGGAGGGAATGAGGGAGTGAGGGTGGGAGGGAGGGAAGGAGAAAGGAAGGGAACCTCTTTCAGAACATGACCCTACCTATATCCCCCACCTCCAGGACTGCCTTTGTGGCTCGGCAGTGGAAACAAACTGGTCCACGACCAGAGGTAAGAACTGAGGCCCACAGGCGCAGGTATGTGAAATTTGCCATTACCTGTCCTGTATGAGCGCTAAGCCACCCTGGCAACAAACACAAGGACTAGAAGCACAGAACAGAGGACAAAACCTGCAGGGGTGCTCATCATAGCTCCTATTTAATGTCAGTCAGATAGCAAACGTTTATAAACTTTTTATATGACAAAACAAGTACATGCGAAGTTACAAATATAGAAAATGTGAAGTACATGCAGATTTCAAAGACCAGCTAGGGGTCCACTTTGGATTCATAAATGGAACCGAGTGCATGTTGAAAGCCTAAGGGCCACACAGTAAGCATCTGGTACCGGACGAAATGGTCAGTATGTTACGAACTTCGGATGCATCAGAACAGAAGGCCTAAGCTTGTAGTAATACTTTATATATTCTACACAGAACACCCGCAGTGCAGGCTGATGCTATTGCAGAGTGGTTGTCTGCTCAGGGAAATACGGAGCAACTTCAGGAGCAAAGTTTGCCTAACTTAAGCAAGACTAACAGAATTTCTCTTTCCACTTTGAATGGTGCCTATTTCTCTCATCTGCAACCTAGGAGAATTTTTAGATTGTCTCTTTGTTGTCTGATTCAAATACAAGTATATTAACTAAAGGTATGAAGTAATTCTGGCTTTTGACAATTAATTATGAGTCAGGAATGAAGAAACTCAAGCGCTCTGACTTTATGTCCTAACCATCTCTCCCTTTGCAGGAGGACCACACTTTTACAGTGTTGGAACTCCTCAGAGTCAAAATCTCCTGGTTCAATCCAAGCAAGGCCAAAACGTCATTCTAGTTCCTAGGAAATGAACAGAGGTTTGCTTTGCTTTCAGTGTTAGTAGGGTAATTTTGTTTTATCCCCTGCTGCCTTACTCAGCTAGAGTTTATGTTAGTAAAGGAGGAATTCCACACATAGATGCTTTAAATATCCCAAATGGGAGGCTGTTTCTTAGGGACCATGCCCAAACAATGACTTCTTTGGCTGTAGAACCCTTTACCTATTTTTAACAGTTCTGTGTGTCTGTTACTGTGTACTCTGTGTGGAGGTTAGAGGGTCACACCAGTATTTACTGACTAGACCAAAACAAAGCCTGGACTACCCAGCGATTACTTGCTGTTATATTTGTACTGGCCTGGTGTTAGTGCTGGCCTGTGATGGGCCCAATCAAAAGAGTCTGGATCGAATAGCATCTGGTCTACTGTACATTTTCCAGGGCCCACCAGTGCCGAGGGCATTATTAGCCTACGGGGGACAAAGAGAGAAGCAAGAATGAGACGTCACCTCAATTAAAAGAGCTACAGGTGGACAACCCCTCCCCCAGCTCAGACCACAAGAACCAGAAAGTACAAGCGGGGAGGCTTCCCTCATCCCACTATCAGGAAGATGAGGAAGGAAATGAGGAGGATCCCGGGAGGGGAGGAGAAGAGCACCGCGCTGGACCTTCTCCCATCGTAGTAGGCCTGGGACTCCTTCTGGTACTGGGTGACGCACATCTGCTCCACCACACGCTCCATCATCTTGACGTCGGTCTCTGTGAAGTTCTCTCCCTTGGTGGTGGTGGTGACCGTGTGCTGCTTGATGGTGATATTGACGCAGTCGTGCACGAAGTTGTTCTGGTTGTTGTACTGGTCCACCGGCCGGTAGTACACTTGGTTAGGGTAGCGGTTCATGTTTTCACGGTAGTAGCGGTCCTCCCAGTCATTGCCAAAATGGATCATGGGCCTGCTCATGGCACTCCCCAGCATGTAGCCACCAAGGCCCCCCACCACTGCCCCGGCTGCAGCGGCACCGGCCACATGCTTCATGTTGGTTTTTGGCTTACTGGGCTTGTTCCACTGATTGTGGGTGCCACCTCCCTGACCCCAGCCACCGCCATGGGGCTGACCCCAGCCACCGCCATGGGGCTGACCCCAACCACCGCCATGGGGCTGTCCCCAGCCACCGCCATGGGGCTGCCCCCAGGTGCCACCACCCTGAGGTGGGTATCGGTTGCCTCCTGGGCTGCCCTGCCCAGGGTATCGGCTCCCACCAGTGTTCCATCCTCCAGGCTTTGGCCGCTTCTTGCAGAGGCCAACATCAGTCCAAGTAGCCACAAAGAGTGCCAGCAGCCAGTAGCTGAGGTTCGCCATGATGGCTGATCTGCAAAATGAAGAACAAGGCATCATTGTCCAGCCCGCAGGCTGAAGTTGCTTGACATTTGTTGCAGAACAAATGTGTGGCAGTCATGGCCTCAGCCACCCACTCTCTCCCAGGGCTTTTCCTTGACAGCATTTAGGAGAACAGTAACTGTAAACCACAGATATACATCTCATTCTCATTCTCTTAGGGAAAATTTGACAAATGTCTCTCTCTATTCCCTGGAAATAAGAATCGCCCCCAGTTGGTGAACTATTATGTCTGGTCTGGGAGAAAAGCAGTGCAGGGTGGCTGTGGCTTTGAGCTTCTTTAGATGAGTGGAATTTGGAACCGGGTATGATCTTGTGGGGAGCCTGGCAGCTGTACTCAGAAGGCTGCTATCATGGACTCTGGGTCCTGTGGGTTGTGCCTCTGCACTGAGAAGAACCATTATCCACATTTGTAGACAGAATCCCCAGCAACTCAAAAAGGAACCTGTGAGTACACCCATCCCGAGTAACCTAACCCCACTCAGTGTTTCCCTGGCATCTGTGGAGGTAGGGAATCAGTTTCTCAAAAGCCAGGTGTGGGGCGTGGGGCGGGGGTGGGGACAGGGACAGTGGGAGCCTATGATCACAGCACTTGGGAGGAAGAGGCAGAAACAGGAGGACTGTGAGTTCTAGACAAGTCGGGGCTTTATAGCTCATGCCTCAAAAACCAAACCAAGAGTGTCTTGTTTGTTGCCGTTTTCATTGGGCTATAGCAGCACCTGGCACAGGGCAGGGTACAATAGACAGCTGTTGAATGAGGAATTAATATCCCCTGAGCATATCACAGCCAAGAGTCTACTCGAAGGAATTCTCAACCCAAGTTTATTAGAGACAGGATACATCTAGGACTTAGCAGGTTTGCTTGAGAATTCCTCATTCTCTCCATAGACAAGAGAGACAGACAGGCTAGGCTGCCAAGAGTGGGAAAACATCTGTCTGCATTCACAAGTGCAGAGGTTTCATACCTGACGAGTAAGTCTGAGTTCAGAATGAATGCATGAATGCCACCCCCCCTCTGTCTCTGTCTCTGTCTTTCTCTTTTTTTGAGATAGGGTCTCACTCTGAAACCTAAGTTTGCCTTGAACTCATGGCAATCCTCCTGCCTCAGCCTCTTTAGAACTGGGATTACAGACAGCTATCATTACATTTAGCTTAGTATTAATGTTTATGAGTGGTTTGTTTTCTCCTGAGTTTTGGTGTAGAAGGGCTGGTATAGTTTAGAAAACAACAAGCATCTCAAATAGCCCTGATTACAACTTACAACCCTGCATCTTCACCAAACAACCGTTCAGATTAATGCTCTCATCATACCAGATGAGATCCAAAAACGGTTCGACAACACAAGAGATTACCAAACTGTATTGCCAAATCTTAGGCCAAACCACACATCCTGACACATCACTAAGACATAAAATCTAAAGGCCACAGTCTCACTCTGGTGAGTCCAACTCCCACCACTGACATTCTTGTCATACTGGAAATATCAGGAAATTAGTTTTCAATTAAACAGACTTCTGGAAGTTTCTTCTAGTGAGGGTCAGCTGGCAGGACACACTCCCACACTTCCAGCGCCCCGTCTTTCAGGTCTGCTTCCTGCTCTACCCCATTTTCTTACGGCCTAGTCCTTCACGCTTCAGGGAGTCTAGCTCACGACTGTACCCTCATTTTCCGTCTTAGTCTACGATGGACTTGGAGGTAGACTTTATAATCCCAGCAAATGGGAGGCTGAGACAGGACAATTTGCAGTTGAGTGTGAGGGCTGGGAAAGAAGCTCAGTGATAGAGAATTCACTCAGCATGTGCGAGGCCTGGGTTCAAACCCAGAACCTCAATCAACCAACCAACCAACCAACCAACCAACCAACCAACCAACCAACCAACCAACCAACCAACCAATCTTACAGTCTTCAATCACGCTGCTGAGCCAAGCCTAGCCAGAAGTTCTTGAATTTTCTCTTTGTCACAGAACACATGAAACTCTATTAGGGACTCTTTTCATTCTGTCTTTATCACGAATCCTAAGCCCTTTTACATCTTTCAACACTATCTTAGCTGATGCTTCCATCCCTGCTCATCTGAGTCTTCCCACAGCTGTCCCCCAGCTTTCTTGCCCATCCCCACCCCTGCCCCAGCTCCTATCTTACATTTTCCTTTTAATATGCAGTCACACTGTACTGGTTCCCCAAGAGTCATTCTAACCCAGGTTAAAATACAAAGTCCTGGCCACGTTGGCTGGGAATCACAGGACTTGGCTTCCTTCCCTTCTCCCTGCAGCCTACTTAAACCTGTTAGAAACAAAGAATACCCTCAGTTACACAAAGAAACGTATGCACAAAGTGAAAGTAGTGAGGCAAGGCAATTTCTTTTTGAAAAAGGGGTTATCATGCCAGACCGAAATGGAGTCATAGCAAAGACATGGCAGCAAGGCGTTGGCTTGGTTTTTATTCTAAGGCAGGTGGTGATTGTATCTTTTCCTCACTGGCTAGGATCTTACCTCACAGTCATTTTGGACAAGCTAGCTTTTTTTTTTTTTTTTTAATTTTTATTTATGTGCATTGGTGTTTTGTGTGTCGGGTACCCTGGAACTGGAGTTACAGACAGTTGGGACCAGCTAGCTTCACAGGTGTTCGTGTCTTTCGTCAATCATGGAAATTTCCAGCTGCTAGCGCTTCAGATCATATCTGCCTGAAGTACTCAGAGAGAGACTTGGCCCTCATGTGGTCTCAAGCTCTCCTTGTGGTTTTCAATCTCATTCCTCAGACTGAATTTCCATTGTGTTCCCCTGGAAGAACAGCCAGCGCTCTCAGCCCCTGAGCCATCTCTCCAGCCCCCAGACAGGCTAGTTTTAAAAGAATCAGCACAGAGTTAATGAAAGGGAGAAAGATTGACTGTCAGAGGCCATCCCAGAGGTCTGGGAATGTGGGGTTCATTCATAGGAGGCTGGGGCTTTGTGGAAACAAAGGCTTTACCAGGTGGAGGAGATTAAAAGATCTGTAAAAATGTTTTACAAGGTGTATGTGGGGTGATTTACAGAATCTTGGCTGGCTACCTTTGGTAGGAAGCAAACATTCCTCATAAACCCCCCAAATGGGCCCTTGCACTTGCTGCTTCCTTGGCCTAGACAGCTCCTCCCCCAGGTACTCATGTGACTCTCAAACAGCAGGGGAGGGGCTCTTCATACTGTCTAGTACAGCACCCCCTGTCCTGTCTGCTTTTCCTGCTTCACTTCTTTCCAGAGTAAGCAATATACTTGACATGTTTGTTATTGTGGACACATTGTCCATTTTCTCTACCGCCGGGCAGGTTCCTCCAGGGCAGAGTCTTGGTTCTGTTTACCCAGTGTCCCCAGACATAGTGCCTGATCAGTAAACATGCACAGTAGATGCCGAAGGGTTAACTACAAAGACATCTTTGCTGAAATGTCACTAACAAGCCACTAGGACGTGGAAGGATCCCTGCATTTGACCACTTATAAACCAGTCTGCCCACAGTTTCACCGAACTAACAAACACCTATTTCCTACACCAGCCACAATGGCAGCCTCAGCCTGGCTGAAGATAGTGTTATATGATACAGACAGGGTGGGGGCCAGAGAAGGCTGCCGGGAATCATGCTGAGTTGGGCTTTGCATGTGCTTCTTTAAGGCCCCACGGGTGCCAGCTAGGGGTGTGGCCCAGCGGAAGGGCATTTGCCTGGACGTGCCCTAGTATCCATCTACTGCAGTGCAAAGAAAATAGGAGTTTCAGTCCTGAGATCTGGGGAGGCAGGAGTGGGAATCGACAGCACACAGTGGTAAGGACACAGGAGAGGAAGGAACTGGCTCGAATGTGGCGTAGGAGGGAGAGACAGCAGCTAGAGTGGAGGTGGGTGAGGTAAAAGGGGCACTGGCAGAGCTCAGGACACCTGAGCCTGCGGGGCTGTAGTGTACAGTGGAAAGGCTGGCAGGGGTCAGGTGACAGGGCCACCCATGCAAAACGAGCAGACAGATTACACCCACCATTCTTGGTCTAACATTACTATGTCTCTTTTAGTCTCAAGACTACCTGTTTTAAAAAGACAGCAAAACACAGTGTCCTTGCAACCCGCCCCTCCCATTTGGAGGCTGGTTCTGTGGCAGCCCTAATGATAAGGCCTGTGAAAGGCCTGGCCTGGGTCTGGAGCTTCATGAGCCACTGAAGAGTTTGGGTTCTTTTTTTCAGAAAGAACATTAGTGAAGCAGGGGCTGTGTGTGCATGCATGCCTGTCTGGGCTTGTATGTGTAAACAGCAGGGAGGCTAAGCCTGAGGCCACTGTACTAATGGTGCTGAGGTGGAAGGATTCAGTGATTCAGCGGCAGCCTCTGGGGAGAGCACAGTGTGGGATATAAATGGTAAGAGACTGAAAGAATCTATGTGGGACTAGGTAGTCACATGGCCAGAACATGGAAAGTGCATCCCATCTGGAAGGAGGTGGATAAAGGTGCCTACACTGTTGTTAAGCAACATGTGGGTCAGGAGCTTCAAGTGTCTGAGGATAAGGAATGAACTGCCCCCCCCCCCACACACACACAACAGGATATCATAGCCATGGGCACATGAGACTTGCTGGTACTGAAACTGATATTGGATAATGCTGGGGATTTAGAAAATACATCAAGACAGGATCATTCAAAGTCAGTTGAGAACAAGAAAAGCAACGGTTAATCATGAAATTTCTTTACAGAATCATTTCTAAAGAGGGACTCAGACCTTACACAAGACCTAGGCAAGCTTGGATATTAAATTCAAAGCCCTTACTCTACAAATCGGCCACCCAAGTGAGTAGCTCCTGGGTTGTGAATGTATTGAGCAGTAGAGCATTTGCCTAATTTCCAGCTCCAGCACAACAAAAGATTGTTCATTAGGTTGCTGGGAATGGAGAGTAGGTTTCTGAGTTCATGGCTGGTTGTGATGTCACCTAAGATATTTTAGTAATGTACTTAGTAAAGGTAATTATT